ATAATCTGCATTTGTAAGATGACACACCTCAGGTGGTTTTGACATAGGTGGCGAAGGGCCACAATCAGGAGTACCTGGTCCAGGTATTTGATACTCTTCTATTTCAGCTCTTAACTCCAGGCTCAATAACAGTGGAAAAAACTTCTTTAGTATGCCTCAGTCAGCTTGCAATCAGAATTATTTAGGTCCCATACTCTCTAGAATTATGAAGATGGTATCAGTCAGTATAGGCCGAGTTAGACAGCAATAAGAACCAATCCCAAAATCTCAATGGCTTAACACAACAAAAATTTATTTTTTGCTTATCCAAAGTCCACTATGGGTCTGAGTGACTCTTCAGTGAACCCATCCTCCATGTGTTGGCCCAGTATTCCAGGCTACTTAGATTCTACAGTATCTCTGCAACATCTTGAGTCCTGTAGAACTCTTCCCACTCTCTTTGGCCTTTTTGTTTATGCCTTTCTAAAAAAAAAAAAAAAAAAATCCTTTACTCTCACTTTAATGGGACTTGGAGAGGAAGTAAAAATATTCTTTTTTTTAAGTGCCTGTGTTCAGCTGCCTGTGTCCAACCTCAAGACCAATTGAGGTTCTAAAAGTGAACCATTTCTTCACCTCCTGTCCCAGTCTCAACTCACTAAGGTCTAGTTTCTGCCTCTAACACTCAGCTAATACTACTTCCTCAAAAGGCCCAAGGACTTATGTTCATCAAATCCAGTGGCCTCTTTTCAACCTTTATCCTCTGAAGCTCTCTGCAGCATTGGACACCCAAGCAACACCCCTCTTGCCAGGAAACAAAATCTCGTGTCTGTTCCTTAAATGTGAATTCTCCTCAATGTTCTGTCTTTGCCATTATTTTTCACCATCCATTCAATTAATACTGGGCACTGTGCCACATGCTAGGGACTCAAAGGTAAACAAAATATTTGTAAAAGGATATTAAAATAATACTCTTTCTGAGTTTTGACTAAAACCCAAAAGGCTAAGAAAAATATTCAGCGTTTTCATACTCCCAGCTGAGCTAATTGGAATGTGAAAGTTCAAAGGAAGTGGTCCTGAACTGATTTTGCAACTCTTAACTTGAAAATATAAAAGGGTTGAAAGTGAAGAGACTGGGAATTCCTATTGAGAAAGTTCTTGCAGTTGTCAAAAGACAAAATTTCCACAAATTAGGGCTGGCCCATGGCTCACTTGGGAGAGTGTGGTGCTGATAACACCAAGGCCACAGGTTCGGATCCCTATATAGGGATGGCCAGTTAGCTCATTGGGAGAGGGTGGTGCTGACAACACCAAGTCAAGGGTTAAGATCCCCTTACCAGTCATCTTTAAAAAAAAAAAAAATTTCCACAAACTGAGTATGAAGATCTAATTGGCTTTTATTAGCAATTCCTGAATTGGGCAGCATCCCATATAGAAATAAATAGGAGCTCCATAGGGCATGGCAGATCAGTGGGTTTTTGTAAGGCAGTTTGAACAGGAACAAGGAAACAATATAAAAAGTGGATTGGTTGACATCAGGTTACTTCAAGTCACTTTCTTTGTAAGGATTAAAGCAGAGGGGACTTCCTTACCATGCCAGCTGAAGTTGACTGATCCTTTCTGACTAGTTGTTGTGAGTTTCCTGTTCTTAGAAAAAACCACTCTATTTGGGGGATTTTCCTGCTTCCTTAAAGTTTCAGTTTAATTATGTGGTACTTAAAACAAGTGGCTCCATTTTGGTTTGTTCCATTGGGACCTGGTACAGGAGCTCAGTTCAAAACAATGGCCCCCTATAATTTTATATAACAGAGAGGTGGCATTTTCCCTTTTACTTCCTGCCCCACCCCCACCCCCACCAGCAATGAGGATGAAGTCAACAGTGCTGCTGCTTCTCTTCAAGCACTGTAAAAGGGCCTCCCATAGATCCCCTTAGAATGCTTGACATGTATTCACCGGAGTCTGAGGGGACAAAGGAGCTGATATTCAACCCACACGTGAAAAAATTAAATACCCAAGGTTATAGCTAAAGGTGCCTGGTGGAAGAGCAAAGAGAGGTGGCTGTGTTGGAGCAAGCCCTGCTTCCAGGGGCAGGCAGCAGAAGATGTAACAGGTAGATGGAGGCCCTGAGGAAGGAATGTACCTGGGGATCGTATGAAATAGGAGTCCTGCCCAAGTGACTCCCTGTCAAGAGTGAGCAATCTCGGCACAAAGAGGCTGGAGGTGTACTGTTGAATGCAGAAGCTGAGAAGACACACACCCTATGTGGCCAGCTAGAGGAGAGGGGCTGCTGGTGTTCAGTGAGTTGGCATCAAGTGCTCCCAGTAACATAATGTCTAGAGAACCTTCAAGTACTCCGCGAGAGAGATTCGACTATAACCCCCACTCTGCCAAGGCTAGAGCACTGCAGTAAGAGTCAGATGAGACCCGGCTGCCCATTCCTCTCTCCCCCTCCTAATCTAACCCCACGAGGTGGGAAGCATGACCCGCAAGCTGTGGGTGGAGGAGAGCTCAAAAAGAGCCCACCACATCCCTGGAGCGAGTCTGAGCTGGGAGAAAGGAGAAGCTTTCACCTGGAATGGAGGTCAGAGTTTCAATAGTTACACAGGACTGGACATTGTCATTGCCGTTTAGTGACTGTTCCTGGGACTAAATGTCTTTTAATTTTTTGGTTTTGTTTTCATCTAAGGGTGACTGAGAAAGTTATGACACTTACCCAAGTTTCTATCCAAAGATCAAGGAGGAATGAGACTTCAGAAAGTGTTTAAAGGGATATGTGTGGGGAAGAATCAAGTTGCTTTCTACTTGTACCCAATTAGAGTATTGCGCCTTCAACATAAGGGTGATACGTAAAAGGTCTCCACTGTCAAGGCTCTTACAATCTGGCCATCGGAAGATATAGGAGAGAGATAATTACAAAAATTCCAACTCTAATAAGTGCTAAAATGATATACATGGAACCATGAAAAGTACGTAGCTGGCAGATTTCATTCTAGATCACTGTGTCAAAAGCCAGTTTACGAAATGACCAATTCATCAAATTTTCTTGTTTGTATGACTATTTATAAAGTTTAAGGAGAAGTATATTGGAGAGAATGACTTTTACAGCTTTTGCAAATTTTTGCATGGTTTTAATTAGTTTGTTTCTATCTGTCTTCAAAACAGCATTTAAAACTACTCCATTTGTCTCTGCCCCAGCTCACTGTTACTGCAGCTGGAGGGCTCTGAGAAAGGAGGGGGCTGTCACTGTTCAGGGATGGGGAGACCAGAGGATAAGATGCCCACCCCCCAGAGGTGGTAACTGGAGGACAGGGAGAGTGCTGGTTTTCCATAAACTGACTTTTGACCCAAATGGCCTGTTTGTTGCTCTCATATTTCCTGTGGATTCCTGCAGGTTTAACCAGCCTCTTGCCTGTCTGACTTGATCTCCAGAAGGATCTTTCTAAAGTGCAAACTTGCTTCCCTGCTTAAAGCCCGTCAGTGGCTCTCTTGGGACTTGCTCCTTCATCCCCTGCCACCCCCTCACCCTCTTCTCCAGCCTCAAGCTGGTTGTTCTCTTTCTCACAGTCCTGCCTGGAGAGCCTACCCACCTCCCTCCTCCAGCTGACTCCCCCTCAGTGCCCTCAGAATTCAAACCAAGACATCAGCTTCTCCTGGAAATGTTCCCATCTCTTAGTCAGGCTCAGGGGTCCAGAACACTGTCCTAATGACATCCCCACCCCATGTCTATCAGGGAAATTGTCAGTCATACTTGCCTGTCTCTCTCCAGGTTGGTGTGCTCCTTAGGGCAGGGACTTTTATCCCTCTATCTAGCCTTAGGCCATTCCCTGGCAAGAATAGTGATCACTAACTCACTTATTGAATTCATTGATACATGAGCTAATGATCTGTCTTCCAAACTTCAGGTACACATTTTCCCTAAAAAATATTCCAGACGCATGTCCTTCAGGCACCTCAGACTCCCAAACCAAATTCATAATGTTCTCCTTTAACTTAATATTGCTTTTGGTTAATGGCACTACACATCCTTACATTCATTCAGTATCAAAAGCTATGACCCACTCTCAACCCCTACATTAAATAAATTGTTGAATACTATTGCTTTTGCTTGCTCAAGTGTCTTTCCAAAACATTTTCATGCCTCACTCTTGCTGCCTCTTCCTCCCCAGTTTCCTGACCAATGACCATTTGAAGCACACACAATGCTGTACATTCGAGTGTTGGGACTGCTCATGATGCCCTAAATATGTTCTGCACCAGCCCTCCTCTGTGTGTTGCTCCCACCAGCCCTCTGATGGCTACACCCACCCTTTCTGGCCTTTATTAAATGGTACCACCTCAAAGAGGTCTTTTAAAATCCTCCTCAAAAGATTTAATCTCTCCCACCCTGGTTTTCTAAGACTACTCTGTTGTATTTGCACCACTGTTACATTACTTAACCATAGTCTGCCTTGTACTGTAGCTATTATGTGTGTTTCTATCTTATTGCCTGGACATCAAGCCCTTCATCTTAGCAAGATTTCGCATGCAGTAGGAGTTTAATAAATGGTTTTGAATTTAATAATAGAATTTATAAATTTAATACATCAGTTCATTCCATGAGACTATATTCAGCACCAAGTTTGTTACTCTGACTTACTGTGGAGATCCACTGATTTCTTCAAAGGCAGAATTTTATGTTGGTCTTAGGATGATAATAGCTTCCATTAATTTCATGCCTAGTACCTGCCAACCATTCCACACATATTATTTCTAATACTTATAATATCCTTGCAAAATAGGAGATATTATCCCCATTTTACAGAGGAGGAAATTCACATTTCATGAGGGTCACTTGCCCAAGGCCATATAACTATAAAGTGCCCAAGCTGGGACTAGAAGCCAGGTTCATCTAATTCTTAAAACCACCAGACCACACCACTCTCATCCGTCCTGTGGGGTGGGTCTGTCTTGTACTTTTCCTTCACTTACTCATCTTCAAAAAGAAGACTTTAGTTTGTTGCTCAGTTAATGTTTGTGTTTTGCAGCTCACTTCAACATCAGACACATCTCAAGAGGACCTGGTGGATAAAAAGTGCTTAATGAATAAATACACACATCTCTCCTGCAATAAAGTCTTCTGCCAACCGTGGCAGAGATGCATTGAGGGGACCTGTGTTTGTAAACTCCCTTATCAGTGCCCAAAGAATGGCACCTCAGTGTGTTCAACTAATGGGAAAAGCTACCCAACTTACTGTAAACAAAAGAGTTTGGAATGTATTCGTCCGGAATCAAAGTTTTTACACAATGGAACATGCAGAGCTAAAGGTAGGTAAAGTCGAGTTTTCAAGTTATTCTTTGATATAAGAGAGCAATTGTGTGCCATACTTTCTATTAGAAAATACTTTTCCTGTGAAATGTTATGATGACAACTCAAAATTCTTCTCTAGACACTTCATAGTAATTGGGGCAATAACTAAAGAAATCAGGGGTCACCAGAATCCAGCCAGCCCTTGAGTCCAGAGCACGTGGCTCTGAGGCCAGGCCTTCCCTTCAGTGCCTGTGCCCTCCCTGCTGCCAGCCCTTTAGAATGGTCCCCACCTTCACTTCTACTTGGTTAAAGGGATTGTTCCCAGGGCCATCAAGTTGGTTCAGAACCCAATGAAAAAGTCTTGACATGAGGTTGGTACTGACAAATAGTCTAATCAGGCCTCAGGCCCACCTTTGGACCTCTAGCTCCCCAAGTTTCTTCTAGCACCCATCTCCCCAGCCCACGTCCCTCTCCCCAGCCTGCATCCCTCTCCCCCAGCCCCAACCCCACTGGCCCTGATTATCCAAGGGGAGCCTGAGCCACTGCTGATCTGAGGCATACTCCAACCCAGTAAACTTGGCACATCAGACCAAACAGCTGCCTGTACTTGTTCAGGGGCCTAATGTAATGAGGAGGCTGGGACCATAACATTCAGATTAGTAAAGTGGTTAAGATTAGGGATCTCACTGGCAGACAGATTTAGTTTCAAGCACCTCTGAACCCCACCTCAGTTACTGACAAGCTGTGTGATGTCTCTGGACCCCAATCCCCTGATCTGTAAAATGTGAATAATGGAAGTCCCTAAGTCATAAGGCTTGTGAAAATGAAATAAAATGATGAATGTAAAGCTCTTCATGCAGTGCTTGGCACACAGAAAGGGAGCATTAAATTTTAATTATAACAGCAAAACTCAGGCTCCTTGTCTTCTGATTTAAAGTTATCAGAGAAGTACTTAAAACATTCTTTTTAAAGGCACCATGACGTACACCAGTTCACAATAGTCTATAAATTTTTACGACGCTGAGTTGAAGTACTGTGGAAAAGGAGGAAGAAAGCACCCTGTTTGAGCCCATCTATCTCTATCACCTGTTGGAGAAAAAGAAGGCAATAAATTGTGGAAGTTATTTTGTCAGTGTCAGACTTTTTCTCTCCTGAGGCATTAAATGCCTTAAATACGTGAGAATACATAACCCTTTCTACATTTTAACTGTTTGGCATACTTTTAAGAGCATGGACTTTGGAAAGATCCATAGAGCAGGTTCCAATTCCTCGCTTCACCATTTGGGCCAGTAATTTAACTTCTTCTAGATTTAGCTTCCTTGTGTGCAAAAATGGGGAAAACCACAGGCATAATCTTCATAGGGTTGATGTAAGGATTTAAGGATCTTCTATATGACTAGATAGCACAGCCACTGAACATAATAAGCATTCATAAGATAATTGCTTATTATTTGTTAAAATATTCGTAGTGTTCAAAGTTAACTTGAAATTATGTATTTTATTATTTTAAAGTCTTTTAATTAAGAGGGGGGTAAAGTGAATGCCTAAATATTGCTCATTGTTTTGATTTTTTTATTTTAGGAAGTTTTAATGTTTCCTTGAGATATAAAAATAAAGATTCAGAGGGAATTGTTGAAGTAAAACTTGTGGATCAAGATAAGAAAACGTTCATATGTAAGAGCACCTGGAGCATTACGGAGGCCAATGTGGCCTGCCGTGACCTTGGATTTCAGCAGTGAGTGTTGGCATCAGTGGATTTTCTCAGGGTTGATTTTGTTGTTCCAATCATTTGCTTTTTGGTTACCTAATCTTTCTGTGCCTCAATTTCCTCATATGTAACCTGAGAATATTATCTACCCACCTCAGAATTGTTATGATGATTAAATGTGTTCATTTTCACCTAGCACTCAGAACCTGCTGAGCACAAGCATCTGTAAGTTTACTAAAAGATCTGGACATAAATCCTTTGGTGATTCCAAGAGCTACAAATACATTCATTACTGTCTACGTCTACTCATCTATAATTATGTCCACTTTTTCATACCTAATATTGTTTATTTATGCCTTTTCTCTTTTTTCCTTGATTAGTCATGCAAAGGTTTGTCTATTTGCTTAGTCTTTTGGATTTTTGTATTTGTAAATCGTCTCTTGTTTATTTTCTATTTCATTAATCTTTGCTATTATCTTTCACTTTAGCTTCTTTTCCTTATTTCCTTTTTCTAAGTCTTTGAGTTGAATGCTTAATTCAACCATTTTCAATTTTTCTTAGTTTCCTAACGTAAACATTTAAGGTACAAATTTTCCTCTAGGTAACAATTCATCTGCATGCCATAAACCTCCATAATTGGTATTTTATTTATTGCCCAGTTCAAAATATTTTCTAATTTTCAATATAATTTCTTCTTTAACCCATATGTAATTTAAAAGTTTATTTTTTACTTTCCAAATGAATATATTAGTTTGCTTTAGGTTAATTTTTTGTTATGGATTTCCTCTTTAACTGCATTGTGGTCAGAAAATGTCCCTGTATGATGACAATTTTTAAAATATTTGTTGAGACTTCCTTTGTGGCTATTTTTTAAATGCTCCATGTGCAGGATTCTATATAATACATATGTTATCCAATTATAATAAGCAAGATTAACTGCTTTGTTCAAATCTTTTTCCATTGTTTTACTTCCAATCTTTCAGTATCTTTATATTTCAGGTGTGTTCCTTACAAACAGCACATACCTAGATTTAAAAAAAAAAAATCTAATATGACAATCACTGTTAACTAGAGTTTGGTCCATTTACATTACTGTGATTATTTACATTGTTGGATGTATTTTTCCTATGTTATTTTGGGCTTATTATTTACCCTGCTTTTTCTTTGCTTTTGTTTCTTCCTTTTCTAATTTGTATTGGATTAATAAAGATTTTTTAAAATCTTCCCCCTTTTCTTACTCTACTTGGTTTAGAAATTAAACATTATATTTCTATTTCTTTAGTGGCTATCTTTGAATTTATACCATAAATCCTTGACTTAGGAAGTCTTTCCCTTCTTCGGTAATAATAGAAAAAGATGCCATTACCCCATCAGGCTTCCACTATTTAGTTCCACCTTATCTTTATATATCCCTGAAGTTAATTACTATCATTATATAATAAGCAGTTATTAGTTCCATCATGGCGTCAATGCAGTTGTCTCTTACTCTGCTCGTTGAGTGAAGAAAATC